TTATGTAAGCACATTCATATATATGTATAATAAATAAATAAAAAAAAAAAAAAATATATATATATATATATATATATATATATATATATATATATTATATTATGTTAACATATATATACACACGAAAAAATTATATAAGACATTTTAAAAAACTGATAGTTTTATAATATTAAAAAAATATTAAAACGAATTAAAATAAGACTATGTATATATATATATATATATATATATAATATTTTTATTTGCATACAAAAAAAAAAAAGAATATTTAATAAGAAAATAAAAGCAAATCTATATATATATATATATATATATATATATATATATATATATGTATATTATAAATTTGTACACATGGTTTATTTTATTTTTTTCCAAACACTGATATAATTACATTTATATAATCACATTTATATGATTACATTTATATGATTACATTTATATGATTACATTTATATATATATATTCTGTATGATTTATATTATATATATAAGGAGATGTAATATTTATAATTCATTTTTTATTATATATATTTTATGGAGATATTATTTGTCGTCTGAACAGAAGGAATCAAAGAGGTGATTATTAAAATCTTGATATCTTTTAAAATAATTTAAGAATTCGCGATCATGCTGAAACTTTAATGTGTCATCAATATCTAAATCAATAAATAGAGTATACATAGAATGAAGGTTTAGAAAAAAGATTAAAGTGATAACAAGTATATGAAAATAATTAAAAATTTTTAACATCAAGGATATAATATTAATATTACATTGAATTATATATTTATGTGATATACTTTGTTTATATTCTAAACATGAGAAAAATTTATATATAAGGAATTCTGTAGGATTATATCTAATTTTATTTTTGGAATGAAATTCATTTAATGTATTTTTTATTATATTTTGTTGATCTTTTAAACAGTTATATATATTTTTTAATTCATTGTTTGATTTTTTTGTAAGTGGTTTTTCTATATGTATTAAAAGTATAGATAATATATTTTTGATTAAATATAAATAATGATCAAAAAAAAGTTGAAAGCATAACATTACAGGTTCAGAGAATAAATGCTTTGTTTCTATTTTATTAACAATTAATTTAAAATAATATGTTATGTCTTTTATAAATTCTATAATATCATTATGGGCATATTCTAAAAATAAATTTATTTGGGATTTTTCTTTTTGTATATATTCATAGTTTCCTTTTTTAGCACTATATACTATAGTTTTCGACATATAATTAAAGAAATAAAAATTTGACCATATTAAACACTTACCAATATAATCATAATATTCATTGGACACATAATATAAATCCTTATAATTACTTCTTTCTATAATATAATCTGTATATTTGTTCTTCTCTTGTTGCATTTTTTTTTTAATTTCCTTAATTTTTATATCAGGAAATTTAGTTAAATGCTTTTGTATCTTTATTGGTAATTTCTGAAAGATATACATCTTTCCATTTAATTTTTGTAATAATTCATGTAGAAAATATAAAGATGTACTAACAATACGATTAAAGAAATAATAATATTTTATATTACCTCTCAAATCATGAAGTTTTAAATCCTTTTTTTGCATTATACAAAATTCTTCATATGGAAATAATATTGCTTTTTCATATATTTTTGATATATCATTATTCATACACTTATACATATTCTTATATTTATCTAATGTTAAAAATTTTGTGTAATAATTTAAATTCGTTTCTTTTTTATTATGATATAATATTATTAATCCGAAAAAATAACAGATTATTCTGTCATAATATTCTTCTATCCTTTTTTTATTATATGTAATTAATTCCTTCATCTTCGCATCCTTCCTCTTTAGTTGTTCTATTTTTTTTTCTTCACACATACTATTATTATTTTTTATATCATCTGGGTTATTCTTTTTATCATTATAATAATTATTTGTATGATTCCTAAGGTCATCATTTAGGTTGTTCATTTCATCATCATTTTTATTGTCCACCTCATCATCATTTTTATTGTTCACCTCATCATCATTTTTATTGTTCACCTCATCATCATTTTTATTGTTCACCTCATCATCATTTATATTGTTCACCTCATCATCATTTTTATTGTTCACCTCATCATCATTTTTATTGTTCACCTCATCATCATTTTTATTATCCATCTTATCATCATTTATATTGTTCACCTCATCATCATTTTTATTGTTCACCTCATCATCATTTTTATTGTTCACCTCATCATCATTTTTATTGTCCTCTTATCATTTTTTTTTTTTTTTTTTTTTTTTTTATTGTTCACCTCATCATCATTTTTATTGTCCATCTTATCATCATTTTTATTGTTCACCTCATCATCATTTATATTGTTCACCTCATCATCATTTTTATTGTTCACCTCATCATCATTTTTATTGTCCATCTTATCATCATTTTTATTGTTCACCTCATCATCGTTTATATTATTACATTTCTGCATCTTAGCCTTTAAACGTTTACAATGATCTAGTACATTTAAAGAAAAAAAATAACTTTTGTATTTATTAAAAAAGTAATGATCTTCATTATAATTTTCTAAAAAAATCAAATCTCTTTCTACTTCAAAATCATCATTTTCAAAACATGGAGGTTCATATGTTCTCCTTCTTGGTTTCACTGTATTTATACTTTCTAAAATATATAGCTCATGTCTAAAGTAATGATCCATTAAAAATGTAATTACAGATGATTTTTTAAAAACTTCTTTAGGTTGTTTCTCACATGGCCATACAACATCAAGTATATTAAATTCGTTTGGAAATTCTGAGAAGGAAAAAATTTTTTTTTCCTTTTTTTCTTTATTGTCATTTACTACAGTATTTATAGTAACACCGTGATTCACATTTTGTTTATTTACAATATGGTTATTGTCAATTTGTTCATTTCTTTCTTTAATAATATTAATGTTTTTAATCTGTTCTTTATCCAGAGAAGTCCTTCTTGAGGATGTATCACCTAAAATGGATTCCCCCCAAAAAAATTCATTTTTTTTTGTATCATAATATTCAGCTATTATTCTTGAAAATGAACTATAAAATGAAGAATGCAAGATGAATAAGTAAAATAATATAACATATATATAAGTTTTATTTATTTTTTTTTTTTTTTTTTTTTTTTTTTCTTTATTTTTCTTTATTTTTTTCTCATTTATTTTTATGCTAGCTACCTTTGTTCTGAGTTAAAATGATCATTCTTAATAATATAAATATATAAAGAAAAAAAAAAGGTACCATATAAAATGAAACATTTATTATACATAATTTTCGTAAACAATCATGGATTCAAAAAAAAAAAAAAAAAAAAAAAAAAAAAAAAAAAAAAAAAACTATACAGATTAAACCAAAAAGAAATAAAATTATATCAAATTAAAATTATATAAAATAAAAATATATAAAATAAAAATATATAAAATTAAAATTATATAAAATAAAAATTATATTAAATTAAAATTATATTAAATTAAAATTATAATAAAATAAAAATTATATTAAATTAAAATAATTATAAATTTGTCTTTATATTTCTACATAGTTTTTTTTCTTATTTTTAATATAATATTATTATTATTTTTTCATATTTATAAAAGGGTACATATAAATATATACAACATATATATATATATTATATATATATATATTATTGTTTAATTTTTTCCTCAAGGAATATAAAGAAATATTTATCCATTCCCTTAACGTTGTAATTATAAGATATAAGATGAACCTGTTTACTTTTTGTATTTATAGGCATTTTCTTTCTCTTTTTATATATTTATTTTATTTAATATAAATTTGCTTCTTTTTCATACTTTCAAATTAAATAAATATATAAACATATATATATATATTATATATATATATTATATATATATATATATATATTATATATTATATTACAACCTATTAATAATACATGCTTCTTATAATAGAATAATAAATGAACATATTTTTTATCGTATGCTAAAAAATATTTCATATATATTATATTTGTATATATATATAAAACATTTGTTATATATATAATATTATTTTCATAATATTTTTTTATATTTTTTAAAAATACAGTTTTAAAACAATTTTTCTTTTTTTATAATATAATATTTATTTTTATTATATAACTACAATCATGTTCGTAAAAAAAAAATTATCATTATATATTTTTTTATGAAACAAACAAATTACATCATGAAAAAATATCATTCTTTTTTTTTTTTTTTTTCCTATAGAATAAAAAAAAATTTCTACAAAAAAAAAAAAAAAAAAAAAAAAAAAAAAAAAAATTGTGAAATATTATATTATATTATATATATATATATATATATATATATATATATATATATATATATAGATAAGACAAATGATTATATTATTACAATATAATATTATTAGAATATTCTATGCAATTTTATTTTTTATTTTTTTTTTTTTTTATTGCAACATTAATATTAAATATATGACAAAAATAAATAAAAAAAAAAAAGGAAAAAGGTATTATTATAATATAATATATATTTCCCCCCTTTTTTAAATATATCACGTAAATATAAGAAAAAAAAAAAAAAAAAAAAAAAAAAGTACATTTATTTATATATATTATATACATATATATTATTAAATCAATAATTTAAATAACATAATATATATGACCAACTACTTCATTAATATTAATAAGTTGAATATTCATAAAACATACTGTAATGGCAAAAAAAAAGAAAAAAGAAAAAAAAAGAAAAAGAAGAAATTGGAACATATAATTATATACATAATTATATTATATATTATTGTATTCTCTATATTAAGATATATGTATTCATATATATATATATATATATATATAGCATAAATTTATAATACATGTATATAATCTCTCTCTCTCTCTATATATATATATGTATACTTTAATTTTTTTGGTTTCTTTTTAATTTTTAAATCTAAATATTTTATCACAAAAGAATAAATGCTTGAGACAGTGTGTCCGAGTGGTTAAGGAGTCAGACTAGAAATCTGGTAGGCTTTGCCTGCGCAGGTTCGAATCCTGCCGCTGTCGAAACAAAAAAAAAATTTTATTTTATAAAGAAATAAAAATAATAAAATAATAATATTATAATAAAATAAATATATATATAATATAATATAATATAATATAATATATATATATTATAATAATGTAAAAATAAAGGAGGAAAAAATTTTTAAAGAAAATAAACATAAAATTGTTATATATATATATATATATAATATGATCCATATATAAAAATAATAATATGCACAAAATAAATAAATACAGTTAAATAAAATAAAGGAATACACCATATATAATATATATATATATATATATATATATATATATATTTTATTTATAAATATAGACCTTTAAAAGTTCATAGAATGTATATTTTCCTTTTTACTTATAAAATAAGAACATATTAATATATTAAAAAAATTTCTATAGATAATAAAATATATATCCTTTAAAAATGCCTCCTTTTTAATATATATTATATATAATTTATATATATGTATATATATATATATATATATATATAATATAATAAATTCATAATGATAAATTTTTTTTTTTTTTTTACGCTCTCTGCCTTTTGTAATATATTTTATAAATAAAATAAATAGAACATTATATATATATCATATATATTTTTATATTTTTCAATATAATTATTATATTTACATATTTATCATAATATTTATATAATATAATAATATATAATATTAATATACTTTTTTTATATCAATTATTTTCTATTATTTGATCCATGTGGGTTTCGAACCCACGACCTTCGGTACATAAGACCGACGCTCTAACCACTGAGCTAATGGATCTTATATGAAGTTACTTTATTCATAACTAAGAATAAAAAAACAAATGAGAAGAAAAAAAAAAAAAAAAAAATAAAATAAAAAATAATATATAGATGTATATAATTTTATATATATATATATGTTGACATATTAAATAATATATATTTTATATATTTATAAAAAAAAGAATTCTTTTAAAATAATAATATATAATTGTAGTAATGTCATTTTATTTTTTCAAAAAATTTATTTACATGATTGTTACAAAATGTTCACAAAAAAAAAAGAAAAAAAAAAATATATTATAAAAATATTATAAAAATATATATATATATATATATATATAAAAGGGGAAAACGAATTAAAGGTAAAAATAATTGTATGATATAAAAATTAAAAGTACTTAAAAAAAAAATGAAATACAGAATAATATAAATATGATAATATATTATTATGCATATATGTATACGTTTGAAATAAATATATAATCAATATGTATAAATATATATATATATATTATAATTATATTATATATTTTTTTTTTCTCTCTTTTTCTTTTTTTTTTGGATCTTTCTACCTCCCCCCTTCTCATAAGCATTTTCATCCTATTGATTTATTAAATCCTTCAAAGCAGAAAACTTGATTCTACGTGATGAAAAATAATAAAATAAAAGTTAATTATATATATAAACATTAAATAATATTATCAAATAAATATATACACAATATGTATAATTTGTACAATATATATAATTTATATATTATATTCCCATCGGTCTATATATTTTTTTTTTTTTTTTTTTTTTTTTTTTTTTTTTTTTTTATACCGTCGGCGAACGCGTCCAGCTTGACCTGAGTATATTCCAGAAGATTCATTTATTGAAGAGGCCTTTTTATTCATATCCGGATTTTGAAATATAACCACAAGAACTGATAAATTATCCAATGATTTTTTTTTATAAGCTAGTTGACATAAAGCTTCTGCAGCAATATTAGCATCTCTTGATTGTATTAAAGAATTTTTGACTGTATTAACAGCTTCTTGTGATGTTATAACATCAAAAATACCATCACAACAAATAATTAAGAATTCATCATCATCTGTTAATTTTATATGAAATAAATCAGGTTCACATATTAGACCTTTTAATTTTTCTTTTGTTTTTTTATGAAAGGAACCGAAACCTCGACATACTCCTAAACACCCACCTAAGTATCCTTCATCATCTAAAATTCCTCCTGATTTTATAATTCTTTCTTGTTCTTTTTTATTAATACTTGCTCGATGATCTACTGTAAGAACTATGGCTCTACCGTTTTTACTTATCACACATCTACTGTCACCTATATTAGCAACATACAACATGTTTTTAAATATAACACTGACACATGCTGTAGTGCCACTGGAATAATTGGAATGATTATCTTCTTTTATATTTATAATATTTTTACATATATAATTATCTGTTTCTTGAAAAGAATATTTTAAAGAATTTTCTAAACCGTTCCCATTTATAAAATAATAATACATATGTATATGTAATAATTTCTGAACGATATTTACAGCGTTATCACCATTATGACCATCATATATAGCACAATAGATATAAGATGGTGTTTCCATATCTTTTATATTATGAATTATATTAATATATTCTTTATCAATTAATTCATATTCTTTCTTTTCTTTTTTTATTAATATATCATATTCTTCTTTTAAAAAATTATTCATGTTCTCAATAATAATAACTCTATCTTCATTATATGTCCTATTTCCTTTAAAGCTATAAAAACCACATTTGAACATATTATTTATCTTTACATTTTCCTCATCTTTTTTTGGGCTCTTTATTTTTATATCTTCACTTATATAATTGTTGCATTCTACCTTCTCGTTAGCGCATGTAGCACTGTATTTATATGAACAATAATAAGTGTTTACAGAATTGGAAACATTCATTCTTTTATTATCATCAACATTGTTACTTGTATTATTTTCAACATTGTTACTTGTATTATCTTTAACATTGTTACTTGTATTATCTTTAACATTGTCACTTGTATTATTTTCAACATTGTTACTTGTATTATTTTCAACATTGTTACTTGTATTATTTTCAACATTGTTACTTGTATTATTTTCAACATTGTTACTTGTATTATTTTCAACATTGTTACTTGTATTATTTTCAACATTGTTACTTTTATTAACCCCACCTGAGATATCTCCCATTTTTGTCTTTTCCAACTTGTCCATCGTCATCTTCTCCTTTCTTTGTATAGAAATATTCGCATGATATATCTCCTCATTATATTTGACTAAAGAAAGCCCAGAACACCTATCATCTTTCTTATCATTTTCTTTATTATCAATATTTTTATAAAACTTTTTTATTTCATTTGCAGTATATGAATAATTATAGTTTTGATATTTATTAAAGGTTTCTTCTTTCCACACGGCCTGGTGGTTGGTTGTAGTAGTATGACCCTTATACATATTATCATTATTATTTTTTTGGATCCCGCTTTTTCTTCTTGTTCCTTGTATACTACTATATGTAGATGTCTCATACATCGATGAAAGTGCTATTTTCTTTGTATCATTAACAGATTCAGCATTTTCTTCATTCTTTAGTTTAACCACCCCGTCACTACATAAAATATAATTATCATCAATTTTTATAGGGAATGGTATCTTCTTATAATCCCCACTTATTTTTTCGCTATGTAGATAATTAAAAATATTATATTTACATTTATTATTCATATTAGGAACCATTTTGTTAATTTTATCATTATCACAAATGTGTTCATCAAATGGGTGTTCATCACATATTTTTTTATCACATATTTCTTTATCACATATTTTTTTATCACATATTTCTTTATCACATATTTTTTTATCACATATTTTTTTATCACATATTTCTTTATCACATATTTTTTTATCACATATTTTTTTATCACATATTTTTTTATCACATATCTGTTGATTACATACATTTACAATATTATCATAACTATATATATTTTTCTTAGCACACATATTATACACATCACCACAATGGTCATCATCATTATCATAAATATTTTTATCAGGACATGTAATTTTTTTTTCAACATGATTATTTGTTTGTCTATGATATTTGTTTAAATCATCTAGATTTACAAGAAAATTTAAAAAGGTATTTTTTTTTTTTTCTTGAATAATATCCATATGAGGATAAAAATTATTATTACTTTTTTCTTTCTTTGCATTATATATAAATAGTTCTATGTAATTATAATTATTCATTTTATATTCTTCAAAAAATTTATTTTTAAAAAATATAGATACACCCATATATAATATTTCATTATATTTATTAAATATAATAGGAATTATAAAAAACTCATATTCATTATTTTTCAAGCCTCCATAATAATCTACAATGGACATGAATTCTATTTTTTTCTTTTTCTTATATTTAAAATCTTCATATAAATTTATTTTCTTCTCATTGTTAATATAACATTGTAGGTTATAGCTATTCAAATCTTTAATGAGTTCATACAAGTTTCCATAAACATACTTCGAGCATTCATTATTGCAGTAAATATTATTACTACTCTGAGATGTACTCATGCTCATAACCAAAAAAACATAAAATAAAAATAAATATATATATATATAAATCAAATATAACAAAAAAAAAAAAAAAAAAAAAAAAAAAAAAAGGAGATAAAATACAATGAAATATTAATATCACTATGATATGGACCAATATATATATATATATATAACATATATGTGGAAAGCATATTTTTTATCCAAACACAAACATACATATATACATATTTAAATATAACAAATAACAATATTATATATTATATAACATGTAACATATAATGTATCTTTTAATTTAAAAAAATTCGGTTCATAAAATTAGAGACGAAAAAAAGAAGAAAAAGATAAAAAAAAAAAAAAAAAAAAAAAAGAGATATTTTTTTTTATACCTCATTATTTTGAAAAAAAGTATATATAATAAATCATTATTTTATGTATTTAAAAATATATAATATATATTATTATATTATATATATATATATATATATATATCATATTAAATGTTACATATAAAATATAAATATATATTTTTTTTTTTTTTTTTTTATTTAAAAATTAGTCCAAAAATTGATAGGAATATTTTAAAAATATAAATATGCATAAAATATAAATTATTACAA